CAGAGGCTTAATTATAAATGTTATGCAGCGTGTGCTGTAGGGAAACGAGACTGCTTACGTCTCTGAAATGGTGCAGGAGAATCTAAGCACCCTATATCTCAGTGCAGTCCTAGATATGTCTACTCAGGAGTAAATTCCACTAGGGCTTTCTACCTAGCTTAAGTGTGTACAAGATTGCAATGTACCTAATGCCACTTTAGTTACAAAGAAGTGAGGTTTGCTACATACGTTGCAGTTCATTTCTTTTGCATTTTTGGGGAAGGTTTGTAATTTTCACGTTGCAGCTATCTGAAGTAGGGAAGTTGTTTTTTACACTCCCTGCCCCCCTCCCAAAAGGGGGAGAGAGAGGAATTGTACCCCATTGGGTGGAAGAGTCCTGTATTGCAGGCGGTTGGACTAAATGGCCCTTGTGGTCCCCACCAGCTGTATAATTCTATGGTCTTTATGATCACCCGATGCAATATTTAGATCCCGGAATCCGTGAACAAGCCCTCTGATCTCTAAACTAATCCTCCCCTCTGATACTGTGTCCTTTTGGTGACCTTACAGTCAAATTCTTTCAGACAAATTATTGCCTTGCACTCACATGTGAAAGAACAGACGCTGTTTTCCTGAATGTGGAGATTATTATTTTTTAAAACCTCTAGGATTAGAAAATAACGTAATTAGAAGCAACTTTGTTCCCCGCATTTCCTGGGGACTGTTAAAGCCCAAGGATGGGAGATGTTTCTCTCTGAACTTAAAGGGCAGTTTTCACTGGATTAACCTGTATTAGTTTATGAAATATTTGGCCCAATAAATATTATGAGGTTGCCTGCCCACAAAATGATGAAATCGTTTGCATGTGAGCATTTCCTGTGTTCTTCTAAAATTGCAAATACTTCTAAAATTACCTTTGAGTGCTGTCAGAAAGGTGAATTGCTCCTTTGTAGGCTTAACTAGTATATGGCTGCTTCCTTTAAATTAAAAAAAAAAATCTGGCTCTGCTCCTATGCCTTTAACAGCAGTCTGACATACAGAAATTCAACAGGTGAAGCTTTTCCTGGTGCGGAGAGAACATAATGGGAAAAGCTCCACCTGGTTAATTCCTGCATGTCTGGTAACTGTTAAAGTCCCAGAGCATACCCTCCAACATTTCTCAGATGGAAACAGGGATGTCCTTAATAATAATAATAATTATACCCGGCCCATCTGACTGGGTTGCCCCAGCCTCTCTGGGTGGCTTCCAACATATATAAAAACACAATAAAACATTAAACATAAAAAAACCTTCCCTATTCAGGGCTGCCTTCAAATGTCTTCCAAAGGCTGTACAGCTACTTATCTCCTTGGCTCAGGGGTTGCACAACTCCATACCTTCCAATATTTCTCTGATGAAAATAGAGATGTCCTAAATCAGCCCTGAGTGCTCACTGGAAGGACAGATTGTGAAGCTGAGGCTCCAATACTTTGGCCACCTCATGAGAAGAGAAGACTCCCTGGAAAAGACCCTGATGTTGGGAAAGATGGAGGGCACAAACAGAAGGGGACGACAGAGGACGAGATGGTTGGATAGTGTCTTCGAAGCTACAAACATGAGTCTGACCAAACTGTGGGAGGCAGTGGAAGACAGAAGTGCCTGGCGGGCTCTGGTCCATGGGGTCATGAAGAGTCGGACATGACTAAACAACTAAACAACAACAAAGGAAAAGCAGGACATCCCAGGATGAAGTCAGAAACCAAGATATCTTCTGTAAATCCAGGACTGTCCCTGGAAATTAGAGACACTTGGGTGAGGGGGAGCAATGGTTGCCAACAGCAGCACCCAAGGGCTCAAGTATGTCAGCCAGTACCTTCTATAGCACCCATGAAAGTTGTCAATTAATATCCCCTCAAAAATCTTCAAGCCATGAGAATCTGTTTGCTCTTCCTGCTCACTTTCTGTTTGCACTGATTCAGCCTTTCCTGCACTGAGAACCCACCTCCTTTAATAGTAGTAGTAGTAGTAGTAGTAGTAGTAATAATAATAATAATAATAATAATAATAATAATAATTTAATAACAATGGGATTTTTATTAGGAGTGCATTTGTTTCTCCTTTCCCACCTCCTGTACCCGCAAGGGCAATTTTTATTTTTAATGCAGCTGTTTTGTGCAATTGCAGATCTGCTCAAAAGAGCTTTAAAAAACACACAGAAACCTTCAGAAATAACCAGTGGGAAAAGGGCCGGCTGCATCCTTTCCCTTGGGCTGATGTCGGAAACAAAATGGAAGTAGGGTGTGTGTGACAATAGCTGCCACCCAGTGACGTGTCACCAAAGATATCAAAGAAAAAGCCACCCACACAATGCATTTCAGAGCATCCAGTATTAGGTAACAGGCAATTTTATATTGGGTTGTCTTCCACTGTCAGATCAGTAAAATCTGAATTTAGTTGCAGGGGACAGGTGGGAGACAGCATAGATTGCCGTTTGGATAAGGATATGTGGGCACCCTGAAAACAAACAAATACAGTACACACCAGCAACATCAAACCCACATTATCCTCCAGAGCGGACAAGCCCTGAGGGTTTGAGGTCTCTACCCACATGTGAGATTTAGCCTCTGGCAGCCAGTTGCCTAATTGTTTATAAGCTAAATCCCATCTAAGTAGTAAAAGCCAAGTGACACATTTAGATAGGAGTGCTGTGCCTGGGGGTGCAAGGCTTCAGTTCAAAGCTTGCTCTGAAACTTTGGCCAGGATGTTTTCTGGGAAGCAACCATGTGAGAAAAATGTATGTTGCAACATGTCCTTCAGTCCATGGGATTTTTATTTTTATTTTATTTTTTGACTTCTTCAAATGGACTCATTCTCAGCCTGACTCAATAGCTTCAAGAATTCCATCGGTATAATGGAATGATTGTGAAACGGGAAGTGAGATTCCCCCCTCCCCCCGCCATAGAGTGTGAGTGATTAAGCAAAGGGGAAGAAGAGTCAACTTGCATATTTCACTGCAGGCAGTGTGGAGTAGTGGTTAGACTTAGGACCAGTTTACTTACAAGATCCATATAATTAAAGCTATGGTTTTCCCAGTAGTGATGTATGGAAGTGAGAGCTGGACCATAAAGAAGGCTGATCACCAAAGAATTGATGCTTTTGGAGTATGGTGCTGGAGGAGACTCTTGAGAGTCCCATGGACTGCAAGAAGATCAAATCTATCCATCCTTAGGGAAATCAGCCCTGAGTGCTCACTGGAAGGACAGATCCTGAAGCTGAGGCTCCAATACTTTGGCTACCTCATGAGAAGAGAAGACTCCCTGGAAAATACCCTGATGTTGGGAAAGATGGAGGGCACAAGGAGAAGGGGACGACAGAGGACAAGATGGTTGGACTGTGTTCTCGAAGCTACCAGCATGAGTTTGACCAAACTGCGGGAGGCAGTGGAAGACAGGAGTGCCTGGCGTGCTCTGGTCCATGGGGTCACGAAGAGCCGGACACGACTAAACGACTAAACAACAACCTACAAGATCGCTTTATCCTACTTTGATCAACTGAATTGACAATTATGTGCCACATAATACCTGTTCCACATTTGTAAGAACTCGATTTGTGATAGCTTTGGAAGTCCATACATATTGATGATGATATACTTGGCCCATTTGGCTGGGTTGCCCCGGCCATTCTGGGCCTCTTCCAATACACATAAAAACATAAGATCAAACGTTAAAAACTTCCCCAAACAGGGCTACCTTCAGATGTCTTCTAAAAGTCATATAGTTGTTTATTTCCATGACATCTGATGGAAGGGCATTCCACAGGGCGGGCGCCACTACCGAGAAGGCCCTCTCCCTGGTTCCCTGTGACGTCACTTCTCACCTTGAGGGAAAGAAAACTCTCAGTGGAGGATCTCAAGCAGGGGCCTTCACTATCCTCTTTTCAGCACCTGCTGAAAACATTCTTGCTTAGACAAACCTACTCAGGTGTTTAGAAAGTGGAGGCAATTCTAATTTGTTTTAGTATTGTAACAGTTGTATGCAGGGCTAGATTTAGGTTTGATGAGGCCCTAAGGCGCTGTGGTCAAAACCACCGAGCCTCTTGGGCTTGCCGATCAGAAGGTTGGCGGTGAGCTCCCGTCGCTCTGTCCCAGCTCCTGCCAACCTAGCAGTTTGAAAGCACACCAATGCGAGTAGATAAATAGGTACCACTGCAGCAGGAAGGTAAATGGCGTTTCCATGTGCTCTGGCACTCGTTACGGTCCTCCATGTGCCAGAAGCTGCTTAATCATGCTGGCCACATGACCCGGAAAAACTGCGGACAAACACTGGGTCCCTCGGCCTGTAAAGCGAGATGAGCAACCCCAGAGTCATCAGTCAGGGGTCCATTACTGAAAGTAATAGGTCCCTTTATATGTCCAGCTGTCCTTTGTCAGCAACAAATTGTTGCTTTTTTGTGTGTTGAATATATGCTATATGGTAATTTATGGACCTAATAAATGGACCAGAGCCATTTGTACATAAAAAAATATGTATTTTATCAAAGTAATTGTTGAACTGAAATTCAGTTAAGGAGTATATTAATACTGAAATAATTATTAAGCCCTAACTTAAAATTGTTTTTATATTCATAACAAACATTTTGGAAATGTACGTCCAGGGTTTTTTCCCCTTCATTTTTTTGGGGGGCCCCTAAGAGAGCGGGGCCCTAAGCTATAGCTTTTTTTAGTTTATACGTAAATCAGGCACTTTGTGTATGCTCATAGCTGTCAACTTTTCCCTTTTCTTGCGAGGAATCCTATTCAGAACAAGAAAATTTCCCTTAAAAAAAGGAAAAAGTTGACAGATATATGTATGCTTTAAAGCCTTGCGCGCGGGCGCCTTCGCTTCGTCTCATTCTCCTTCAGACAAAGTGCAATGAAAATTTTAAAAAACAAAACTGCTGAGGAGGAAGCGAAGCCGCTCGCTGCCTTCAAACCGGGAACTAGGCAAGCTTTTCCCTGGCAGGGAGCCATGGAGGGCGGGGAAGCCGAGGAGCGTCAGCAGCCTGCGACAGCCCGAGAGAAGGGAGAAGAAAGCGGAAAGGGCGACAATAAAAGAAAGGAGGGAGAGAGGAAAAACCAACCCACGTGCGCACACGAGTGAGGTTGTTTATCTGCTCTGATCCTATGCACCCTCCCCGCTTCCTTCTTCCTGTGCGCCCACGTGGGAAGCCGGCAAAGGTAAGGCTCTATAAATACTCCTGCTGAGATCCTAAAAGGAGCTGGTCGCTGGAAGATCCCGAGCAAAAGGAAAAGCGCTTTTCCCACCCGCGTCCACTTCTTGGTTGACTTTCAAAGGGGACCGGGCACATTTTCATGGAGGATGAGGCTTGCTTCCTGGCATTCTGCCCTGCGCCTCTGCAGTTGGAGGAAGCAATACTCCAGAATACCAGTTGCTGGAAACCAGAGAAGGTTGCTCCTGCTCGCTGGGGTTTTCCCCTCACACGCAGCGGTTCTCAACCTGTGGGTCCCCAGATGTTGCTGGACTACAACTCCCATCATCCCTGAGCTCTGGCCTTGCTAGCTAGGGGTGATGGGAGTTGTAGTTCAGCAACATCTTGGGACCCACAGGTTGAGAAAGGCTCAAGTCTTTTGAGAACAGGATGCTAAACCAGATGGGCTACTACAAGCCTGTTTTCTTGTGGTCGTGGAGGGAAAACAAACAAAAATTCTGAGTTAAGGGATTGCAAGCCCTTTGCACCCTTAGCCTGGGAGGTGATCCCCATTTGAAGGAAATGAGGCCTGGGAGAGGCTTCCTCCTGCGCTCAGGGTTGGCTGTTTGCACCCTTCATATAAAGCGTGATGATTGCACTCTAAACAGGCCAGCCTGCCCCCAAAGAATTATGGGAGCTGTAGTTTGCATACCCTCCCACCATTTGTCCGGCGAAAACAGGGACATCCTGTTCCATCATCATCATCAGTTTAATATTTATACCCCACCCATCTGACTGGGATTCCCCGCTAAAGCATAACTCCATACCCTCTGACATTTCTCCAATGAAAATAGGGATGTCCTAGGAAAAGCGGGACATTCCAGGATCAAATCAGAAACCGGGATGGCTTCTGTAAGTCTGGGACTGTCCCTGGAAAATAGGGACACTTGGAGGGTCTGAATTTGTTGTAGGCCCATGAGGAGGAGGGAACAAACAGCCTGGTACAATTGCCCTGGGCCTCAGAGGCCTGAGCCAGTCATGGACCCTGCCAGGGGTCTGCCAGACTTGGGCACCTTAAAGATTTTTGCTTTTCCACCCTCTTTACTGCAGTGCAGAGCTGTTACCTATGGAAGAAAAGAAATGGGGGGGACCCCAGCCCTGCATGCATTTCTTTTACAGCAGTCCCCAAAATCTAGTAGGCAAAGTGTTTTCTGCCACCTGTTTCCATGCATGGAAAAGCTTCACCTATATCTGTGATTCTGTTTCTCTTAATCATACAGGAGCAAAGCTGTTTTTAAAAAATATATTTATGCAATTAACAATTCCAGCCCAAAGGTTTCTTCTTGCCACCTGCTCATCATTTTGTCCTCTCTTTTTTGCATTTTTCTTTTCCTCTCTTTAAAATCCCATTAGCTTGTAAATTGCAAATGGAAGTTAATCAAATCAGAAGGCAGGATCGCAGCACTTAATTAGCGTTTCGGAATTAACTGCACTTGCCTCTCAATTGCTTTCTAATAGCACAGTGTGTTGGGAGCACAGGATGGGGAAAAAGGATGACGTGTCCCTCCTTATGATGCAAAGATCAAATTTGCATTGAATGTAATCTTATTAATTATTAGGGAGAGAACTGGATGCAGAGTGGTATTTTGAGTGTTAAGTTCTCAGAATGCTTTTCTGAGCCTGTTCTTCAGAGTTTAACGTGGCCTTGAGAGTATCCTGTCTACTAATAATAAGCACATTCTCTAAACACCTATCCTTTGGTTTGCTAAAACTATACCATCCATGCATGAGAGGGAGGAATCAGCTGAGCTGGGTGAACTCCCGTGTTTTCAGGTCATGGAACAAGGGCTTTGGGGAGGCAGAAAACCAAGGAGGGAGGGGAAAATGGAATGGAAAAGGGCCTGGCCAGCCGACTGGCTAAAACCTTGGAACAGCATTCCACATCGCAAAAACCTGTTGCAGGTTCCACCTGTACAGGATCTAATGATGATGATGCCGAGAGTGCAAATAGATTTTCCTGAACACTTAATTGACAGCAGCTCTCATTGCATCTTGGATTACGTGTCATGTTTTCTGGGTCATGCAAGCAAGAAGCGAGTTGGGGCTTTCCAGCTGTTTTTTTTGGACTACAACTCCCATCATCCCTAGCCAGCAGGGCTAGAGGTCAGGGATGATGGGAACTGTAGTCCAAAAACAGCTGGAGACCCAAGTTTGAAAAAGCCCTGAACTAAGTGATGCATATTGGGGCAAAAATAAATAAATCTTAACTTTACAGTTGACTGCTGTGAGAACGGGTTGCTGGGCTCAACAAGCTCATGGCCTGATCCAACAGTGCTCTTCTTATATGCTAGGGTAGGCAGGTTCAATATACGTCGTTGTTGTTGTTATCGGGAGGTGGTAGACTCGCCTACCTTGGAGGGCTCGGACAGCCATCTGTCATGGATGCTTTAGCTGAGATTCCTGTATTGCAGGGGGCCAGACTAGATGACCCTTGGGTCCCTTCCAACTCTAAGATTCTATGATTATTATTTTTCTACACCATCCTTCACCTGGTGATCACAAGGCGGCTTATAGGATAAATCTAAATGCATACGTAGTAAGTTTATATATATATATAATTTTAAGCACTGTCGTTTGGATCAAGACATGCTGCAGGCCTGAATGCTTGCGATATGCTTTGCAATGAGGTATTTTGTTAAGCCTGTGTTATAAATCCGTTTGTACTTGGAACGCTTACCTGTCCAGTGTGTGTGTGTGTGTGTGTTTTGAGAAGGAGCTTCTCAGCCCTCTTAATCCACGAGGGATGTGCATTGTGGTTTATTTATATTCTGCCCCCTTAGAACTCATATCCCTGTTGGATGAGAGTTGCTATGTTCCCTGTCCTTTCAAGATCTCTGCTCCTCTGGGATACATTTGAAGTTGCCCACTTAACTGTGAGCCTAGGAATCGGTTAACTCCTATTTCCAAGAGTGATAAATTGGGGGAGGGGGACTGTGCTTTGAGCAGAACTGGTTGCCCAAGATTGCTGCTTGTGAGAACCATGCCCATTCCTCATATTTGGAACTGCGATGAAGGGAGACTGGGATTTAATTAGGGTGGCGCTGTGGGTTAAACCACAGAGCCTAGGACTTGCCGATCAGAAGGTCGGCGGTTTGAATCCCCACGACGGGGTGAGCTCCCATTGCTCAGTCCCTGCTCCTGCCAACCTAGCAGTTCAAAAGCACGTCAAAGTGCAAGTAGATAAATAGGTACCGCTCCGGCGGGAAGGTAAACGGCGTTTCCGTGCGCTGCTCTGGTTCGCCAGAAGCGGCTTAGTCATGCTGGCCACATGACCCGGAAGCTGTACGCCGGCTCCCTCGGCCAATAAAGCGAGATGAGCACCGCAACCCCAGAGTCGGTCACGACTGGACCTAATGGTCAGGGGTCCAGCTTTACCTTTTAGGGCGGTATTTATAGGGTGATACTTTTGGAAAAACACCCCCCCTGGGAAGGCTGCCAACTTCCCAGTTCAAACCTCTGGTTACCTTTCTTCCATGGGACTAGAGCTTTTGCTCTACCTTGGTCTGAGGAACAGAGTTGACTCTTGCAACCTTCAGGTGTGGTTTTGTCTCTCCTGTGGACAAACCATGTACTTCACTCAAGACCTCAGTGTCTGAAACCTGGTTTGAGCTGCTAGCCACAGCTAAATATGCAACAGCTGTGTTAGCAAACTCCCGAGAGTACCTCTTGGGTGGCAGTCCCTTTGTGACTCTCTCAGATCTATATATCCAGGGAAGCAAGAGACATTATCTGATTTCAGGGACACGTTCCAGCCAGGCAAAAACTGATCAGGGTGCAAAACAGGAACAGAGAGTGGATGTGACCCGGGGAGAGTTTTGAGGGCCGGATTCCCAGTCCTGGAAGGACGCATTTGGCCCCCGAGCCTTGCCACCCCCTGAAGTATAGATCTTGGAGGCAGGAATGGGCACAGAGTGGGGGAAATAAACAATCTGTGTGTTCCCTTCTTCCTTAGCTCCAGCTAACCTGCGGGCCACAAGACTATCGCGATGAGTTTTATCGACTACAGAGAGACGATAAAGGAAGGGGACACGGCGATCGTCTTCTTGGGCCACGAGTCCATGTTTCCGGTGAAGGTGCAGCATGGTGGTAAAACCCAGACGAAGTATGGCGTCATCAGGCATTCCACCGACCTGATAGGCAAGCGGTATGGCTCCAAGGTGACCTGCAGCAAAGGAGGCTGGGTGTATATTCTTCACCCGACTCCCGAGCTGTGGACTCTGAACCTCCCCCACCGGACGCAGATCCTGTATTCGACGGACATCTCGCTCATCACCATGATGCTCGAGCTGAAGCCGGGGTCCGTTGTCTGTGAATCAGGTAAAGGTTCTTGGTGCATGGCGTTTGATAATGGCAATTGGGAATACTTCCTTGGGGGGTATTGTTATTACTATTTCCATTGCATGGCCTTAAAATTACTCATTTTATGACTACTGTTTTCACTGGGGAAATTCCTCTTGCACCTATTGTTATTGCCGGTACTACTACTGTGTCTGTAGCACGGTTGTTACTGCTCATTCAGAAGGAATCGTAGAGTTGGAGGAGACCCCGAGGGTCATGCCAGCCTGGCTTTTGAAAGGGGCTTTTCATTTTGGGGTGGGTGCAGGGACCTCACACACTTCGACGGGTGCATTTCTTCCTGTCCAGCTTGGAATCTAGCATGTTGCCAGTGTGGTGTAGTGGTTAAGAGTGGTAGACTCGTAATCTGGTGAACTGGGTTCGCGTCTCTGCTCTTCCACATGCAGCTGCTGGGTGACCTTGGGCTAGTCACACTTCTCTGAAGTCTCTCAGCCCCACTCACCTCACAGAGTGTTTGTTGTGGGGGAGGAAGGGAAAGGAGATTGTGAGCCGCTTTGAGACTCCTGAAGGGGAGTGAAAGGCGGGATATCAAATCCAAGCTACTCTTCTTCTTCTTCTTCTTCTTCTTCTTCTTCTTCTTCTTCTTCTTCTTCTTCATCTTTGTGGTTTGGGGGACACTCAAAGGATCAGGAAGCCAAATCCTTCCCCTCCGCCCAAGCATCCTCTCTTTGCTGCTGTGGTGGGTAGCGCAGCTGTGGGAAGATTGGGAAGACTCAACTAGCTGAGGAAAATAGCTGCCCTCCATCTCAATGTGCAAAAGGGTCCATTGAGCTGAGGTATCTCTGCATGTGTGCATTGCGGCGATCAGATGCCCTGTGCTGAAATAACGTCATAATAGGCGCCATGGTATGGAATGAATAAATAGCTGTGCTTAAGTTGATGTGGGTATGCATTTAATAGCATGTCTGGTCTTCAAGACTCAGGGCAGTGGATTCTAAGAATAAGCACTGGAATAGCATTCAAATCAAATTTGTTGAAATTTTGTTGTTATTTTGCAACTTGGCTTTTCAGCCCCCAAAGGCTTACAAGTGGGTCTTGCAGGTGCTCAGGGTTCGTCTTTAGCAGCCCTCTGTGGGAGAGAATTCCACCCAGGGGAGGGTGGCCCCTGAGAACACCCCTCCCCACACTCTCGCTGCCCGATGTGCTCACGTCCCATGCACCATGATGTCAGAAAACAAGCCCATGACTCTGGAGCGAAAGCAGTATTGTTATGATTGCACAAGCTTTTGGCAGGCGTCTGGGCATGACAGTATCTTTCTTGGACGGCCGAAATGCCATCTGTCATCCTGTTTCCTTATTCAGCAGGATGTTTCTCCCCGCTTCCATGTGGGAAACTTGCACTGCCGGTAAACAGCTCCAAGGACTGAGTCGATGCTTTGAACTTTGCACTAGAAATTGCTAGGAGTCTTTCAGTCATGCTTCAGTTTTATTAGCCTCTCCAGGTAAGGCCCCACCTGCAACCTGTGTTTAAAGCAGCATTGTGCCACTTTAAATAGTCATGGCGTCCCTCCAAGAATCTTGGCAACTTTAGTTTAAGGGTGCTGGAAGTTGTTGGGAGGTCTACTGTTCCCCTCACAGAGCTGCAGTTCCCAGCATTCCTTGGGAAGAGGGAATGACTGCTCAATTTTAGAATTTTAGAGGGGAATGGTGTGCCCTTGCAACTCTCAGCACCCTTAACAAACTGCAACCCCCAGAATTCTTTGGGGAAAACCATGGAGAAAACCTAAGATGTCAGGATACTGCTTTCAGTGTATACTGCAGACAGAGCTTAAGTTTAGGGTTAGGAAATCCAAGATGGCAGCTTCAGTAGCACAGAGAGCCAGGCTAGACTGTACATTCAGGATTGTAAATAGGCACTTTTTTGGTAGGCCTGTGGCGATGAAGAATCCTCTTTTTTTTAAAAAAAAAGATATTTATTAAAAATTTCAAAATATTACAAAATGAAAAAAGAAAAAAGAAAAATGCAAAATAAAAATAGTTAAAAACAATTCAATCTTTCTGTTACTTGTCTTTCATTTGCTTTTTCCCCGGACCTCCTCACACCTCCCTTTTTTGTATTCCAATTCAATTTGTTAGTTCAGCAAATCCTTTCTCTCTTTGTTTATCCTAGTCTTTAATCTTAAAGTATTATAACATTAAATTTTTACTGTTAATAATCCATTTTTTCATATTCCTTTATATCATTACAGCTAAAAACCACTTAACTTCTTATCCAACATCATTCTAACATTCATTAATTTTGCAGTATTTAGCGATGAAGAATCCTCTTGCACAGTACATTTAAAGCAGAATTATACCATGTTAAACAATCATTAGCTTTATTAGAAGAACAAAAATGATGTTGGTAGGGCTTGGCGATACCTGGTTTTCAACACCGCAATAAATCACCAGCTAAACATTGTGATGTACCGTTATATTGCGATGACTGAAATAAGGATGGAACTCTGTAGAGGCGAACACATGTTGGCTTTCCTCAGCTCTCCAAAATGTAGCACTTGCAGGAGGTATCTCAAATTTATTACTCCAGCAGTTAGTGCCTTCAGCTCTTTCAACAGCTGCTGGATTTCTGCCTGATCCCCTACACTAGCTTTAAAGAGCGAATAGCCAGATCCCATGGGTACTCGCTAGTTCCTGCAGGAAGCAAGATGGAGCCACGGGTGGTCCGAGGAGGCGGTGAACTTTGGCAACCAATTCTTGTTGTATTATCCTTGCTTTGAAGATAGGGAAGCTGCCTTATACCGAGTCAAACCATTTGTCCCATCTGTTTTAGTGTTGTCTACACTGATTGGCGGGACGCGGGTGGCGCTGTGGGTTAAACCACAGAGCCTAGGGCTTGCCGATCAGAAGGTCAGCGGTTCGAATCCCCGCGACGGGATGAGCTACTGTTGTTCAGTCCCAGCTCCTGCCAACCTAGCAGTTCAAAAGCACATCAAAGTGCAAGTAGATAAATAGGTACTGCTCTGGCAGGAAGGTAAACGGCGTTTCCGTGCGCTGCTCTGGTTCGCCAGAAGTGGCTTAGTCATGCTGGCCACATGACCCGGAAGCTGTACGCTGGCTCCCTCGGCCAATAAAGCGAGATGAGCGCCGCAACCCCAGAGTCAGCCACGACTGGACCTAATGGTCAGGGGTCCCTTTACCTTTACCTTACTCTGATTGGCAGCAGTTCTCCAGGGTTTCTGGCAGGGGACATTACCAGCCCTGCCCGGGAGTTGAATCCAAGGCCTTCTGCATTCAAAGCAGAGGATCTCTTTGCCTGGGATTGTGGTTACAGCAGAGAGCACATGGGAGAAGCTTTGCTGTGTTTGCTCCTGACTACTGCCGGGCTAGAGGGCAAGCGGCCTTTGTTTTGACCTCTGCGAATGAATTATGCCATAACGAAATAATGGAAAAGGTCGGCTATCACTTACGCAGTGGCATCCTTGGTTTCATGGAATGTTAACTGGCATTCATGTGCATGCTAGGGGAAGGGGCTGCAGCCTCTGCTTTGCATGCATAAAGTCTTGAGTTTGATTCCAAGCATCTCCAGCTAAGCCTGGGAGAAGACACTTGTCCGAACCCTAGAGAGCCACTGCTAGTCAGTGTACCCCATACTGAGCTGGATGGACCAATGGTCTGACCTGTAACCCCCAATGTTTCATGGAACATACTACCTTATAAGGCAGGGGACTCTCCTCCATTAGATGTTTCTAAGCAGAGGCTGAATGGCTGCTTAGTTGGGGCAGTGAGAGCAGAGGATTTCCCGCATCAAAGCAGCATTGACTTTTCCAACTCCTTTGAGATTCTGTGATACAGCCCCATTTGCAAGAAAGCAGTGCTATTGGAGAGCGACATGCCTATGGAGAGCTTTTCATGCTCACACCTGTTCCCGTATCATTCAGTAGAACTTTGCATGTGAGTCAGGGCTCTACCCTTGCCTGGGGGGCACCAGTTACGTGTGGGAAAACCTCATGTCTTTGGTTCATATGGTAATTCTTACTGAATGAGGAAACTCGTGTGTGTGGCAATTCTCACCGTCTTAATTAACTGTGACCTTGTTTTCTGGATTCTTTAGGTTGCTTTAGGTAGGCTGGTGTTTGGTAGATGGGTCTGTCCTATTGGGCAAGGGGTCAATCTGTGTTATCCTTCACCAGCCTGGTGTCCTCCAGATCTTCTGAACTTCAGCTTCCATCAGCCCCAGCTAGCATGGCCAGTGGTAAGAGATTGTAGTCTCAACAACATCTGAGGCTGGTCCAGAGTGCCTCTTGGTTGCTTCAGCTCAGTGTTTCTGTAATACATCACAAAACATTAGGATGGGGATTGGCACCTGGAAGCCAGCATGGAGTCAACCTGGCCCCTCTGCTTTGGCAACCAGGAGGCAAAATAGTGATGGCCTAGACGGTAGCTCAGTGCGTAGAGCATGAGACTCTTAATCTCAGAGTCGTGGGTTTGAGTCCCACTTTGGGTGAGATTCTTGCATTGCAGGAATCTCAGCTAAAGCATCCATGACAGACGGCCATCCAACCTCTGCTTGAAAACCTCCAAGGAAGGAGAGTCCACAACCTCCCAAGGGAGATCGTTCCACTGTTGAACAGCTCTTACTGTCAGAAAATTCTTCCTGATGTTGAGTCGCAATCGCCTTTCTTGTAATTTGAAGCCATTGGTTCAAGTCCTACCCTCAAGAGCAGGAGAAAACAAGCTTTCTCCATCTTCCATGTGACAGCCCTTCAGCTGTTTGAAGATGGCCATCATATCTCCTCTCAGTCGCCTCTTCTCCAGGCTAAACATGCCCAGCTCCTTCAACCATTCCTCATAAGGCTTGGTTTCCAGACCCTTGATCATTTTGGTTGCCCTCCTCTGTACACCTTCCAGCTTGTCAATATCCTTCTTAAATAGTGGTGCCCAGAACTGGACACAGTACTCCAGGTCTGGTCTGACCAAGGCAGAATAGAACAGTACTATTACTTCCCTTGATGTGATTGCTA